CTTTAAGAGTGCCTCAAGACAGACGAGGACAAAAAACTTGAAAAGCTTGTTTTACTCCTACTTCTTAGTAGACTATCAGAAGTCAACACCACATTACTCCTTTATTCGTCATTTTGCAGCATAATTTATGAGGATTCACCTTTTAAACCGATTTCAAGACCCATCCTTAACCAGAACAAATTACAAAAGAACCAAAATAAAATCACTTTATTAATCTACTTAGAGTTTTCATCCTCCGAAAAGCCTAAAAATATAAAGGCACATCAGTTGCAAATGATGACAGTTCTATAATTTTACTTTGAGCTTATAAAACAGAAGCTACCTAATAACAATCCTACTTTTAGCTCAACATCTTTCGTCATAAAACCACTCCTTCAAAATCCTTCTCTATAAATCTTTTGACCACCTTACTTCACTCGTCTTCAGATAGTTTTTGGAAATTAGACAACCAGTGTTTTCAGCGCGCCAGCGTTTCGTTCAGTAAATATCTCAATTCAGCTAGCCATTCTAGCTCTATTCTGTATTGAATCCACGCCACCGCTAATCATATACCGCATTGTCTTTATCAAGTTTCCATAGTCACTTAGATAGACTTTTCTCGTAAAACTACTAACTTCTTTTCGTCACAATTACAGCTGTACCATCTAAACGGGAACAGGCACGATTAAAGCTATCTGGGTCATTTCGGAATTGCAACATCAAAGCTTCTGCCTCAAAGAACACAGCTTTTATTGCATCAGTGCCAAAAAATTCTAGAATCATTGCTTGTATCCAGATCACTTAAAAGGAAAAATTATAAAACTTCAAAATGACCAACAAAATTCCAAATTCTATTTTACACTCAGCAAGCTACACTGATTGCACTTCAGTGTTTTTACTTTACAACTGCTGCTGGAGATTACCTATCGTCTTTACCGACTCTCACATTTTTCTTCTCCAAAAAATTAGTTTTTATGCCTTGCAAGGTTTTCGAGGCTTGCCAGTAAAAGATATCTTGTTTCATCCAGTACAACTACATTTTGCTGATAACCTATATAAAAACTTTTACTGTGAACAAACAAACTGAGGAGTTGTTAGCTACATAACGCATAATTCTCCTTACAGGTATCATGATTTGCTTCTCAGCTGCGTTCAAGCAGTCTCTTGCTTCAGATATGACAAACCGGAAAAAAGCAGCTACTTTATGCGAATTTATAGCAAATAAAACAACACATGCTCTGATTTAGTGCCGATTCATGTACGCATAAATAACTCTAAAAGTGGTGCTGATGTTTTGTTTTAAACTGTTATTCTAGTCGTGTTCATAAACGGGTACCAAATTTGTATAAGCAAGACTCCATTAGGATGACTGACAAGATGTAATTTTACGCCAACATCAGCATGGCAAAACCAACTAATATCGCATTGATGCAAAATTTATCCGTACCTAACGCCCATGCATTTTTTAACAGAAAATCTTCCATTTCAAAATCACCAAACAGGAAACCAAATATAGCAGCTGAATTTGAATGGGTTACTCTAGACAACCTACATCTGCACGAACGCGATCGTGCTTCACAAATACACAGGGCCTAAAGACACAAAGAGAACATCAGCGTCACTTTCAGGGCTTTATAAACGCACTGAAAATCGCTATCGAGTCAAAGCGCTTCCTTTATTGTATATCATGAATTCGCTCAAAGTAGCCGTTTTCTGCTGGCTTGTTG